ATTGGAGCATAACAAGTCATTGGCCTCGAATTAAAAGACTTTTAGTTGAAGGACTGCAGTATAGATGTCTCTATAAAGTAAGAAGATGTATGCCATTTATTTGTGGATGATACTCAGAAGTGGAAAAGAAAGAAAATGGTTTTCAAGGTGATTGATGAATCATGTTTGCTTTCACGATTTCCTTTCTTATTAAATACTGGAGAATTGGACACTTAATCCAAAAGAAGGAGGAGAATGAAACAGTTCTGATAGTCTCAGCTCTCTGTTCTCCTGACTTCTGGTCTATTGGGAAGTGCCTTGTTTTCTTCTTGAGCCAAGGATAGGTCTCTGCAGTTGGCGGTTTATTGATGATGGAACCTCCTCTGGTTCTGGCAGGGCTCTGGTCACTAAACCTGACCATACTCAAACAAGTGTGACCAGAACTAATTACCATTTTAAAATTTGTCTCCCCATGCAACCAGCAAACATTTATTAAGGGTGGTGGAAGAGCCAGACCTTGTGCTGGGAACGGGGGATAGAAAGATGAATGAATTCAGCCTTGGACAAGTTTATAGTTTAGCAGAAAACAGCTATGTAAATAATCACTGTATGGTGGAATAAAGTATGAAATAGCTTAGAGGGGAGATAAGTCAACTTTACCTGGAAGTATTGGACATGGTCAGGGAAGGTTTTATAGAGGAGGCAATATTTCTATTGAATCCTGAAGAATGACCAAGAGTTTACCAGACAACGGAGAGTTGAGGGATAGGGCATGGCGGACAGTATAGTAATCGCAGTGTCCGATTTTAGTGTCACAATACTGCTCATATTCTGGTATACTTGCTCACTATTTTAGGTAACTGAAATACTGGTCTTTTTATAGGTCTAATAGTTTTATTTGGTATCTAAAAAATGAAATCTGAGTTACTTATGGATTGAGAACAATAGTAATGATTTAATTGCTCAATGTATACAAAAAGTCAAACTGAAGTTTACAGATTTAGATGATCTACATTGTGGTTTGGTAAATTTCTGTTATAAGAATAATTTGAGTCCAAAAACTTCCAACTAAGTAAAATGTGAATCTCATGGTTTTGAAATTGATCAGAAAACTGAAATGGAATCTCTGTACGTGAAAAGACTAAAAAAAACAAATATGAACCAGCCAAGTTTTCTCTGCGGAAAAAATTACAGCTTACTCTTTTTTTTTTTTTTAATTTAGAGAGAGAAAGAGCGCGGGGGGCAGAGGGAGACAGAGAATCTTAAACAAGCTCCATGACGTGGGGCTCGATCTCACAACCCCAAGATCATGACCTGAGCCAAAATCAAGAGTTGGACGTTTAACCAACTAAGCCACCCAGGCGCCCCCTACAGCTTACTCCTAATAAAAAGATTTCAGTGTTTGCAAAAAAGCAAAAAACTGTTCAGAGATCTCTCCCTTTTCAAATTAGAAGTGAGATAATTTGAAGGAAAATACTTGGTGTTGGGATGCCTGGGTGGCTCAGTCCGTTAAGCGTCTGCCTTCGGCTCAGGTCATGATCTCAGAATCCAGGGATCCAGCCCCGCATCAGACTCCCTGCTTAGTGGGGAGTCTACTTCTTCCTCTGTCCTCACCCTGCTCTCATGCTCTCTCTCTCAAATAAATAAATAAAATCTTAAAAAAAAGAAAGAAAATACTTGATGTTAGTTTATAACCACTTCTAACTAATGTTGAGTGAGAAAAACTTCAGTAGCTAAAAAAATTTGCACAAAAATATCTTGGTGATACCATTGACACACTTAGAAAAATCAAATAATGTTTCATTTGAAATTTTCATGATTAATTACATTTCTTTATTTTTATAGTGTTTGTTTTTTTATCCTTAATTTTTGTTAGCTTTTTAAAAAAGATTTTATTTATTTATTTGTCAGAGAGAGAGAGCACAAGCAGGGGGAGCGGCCAGCAGAGGGAGAAGCAGGCTCCCCACTGAGCAAGGAGCCGATGCGGGACTGGATCCCAGGACCCTGGGATCATGACCCAAGCTGAAGGCAGATGCTTAACCAACTGAGCCACCGAGGCATCCCAATTTTTGTTAGTTTTATCTGACAATTTATATTGCTAGTAGAATGAAAATATATACTTAGCATTTCTATTTCATACTTATGCTTTTTTGCTATCTTATGTTTATACATTTTCATAAATGTATTAACATTAAAATATATTAAATAGTTTCATTAATTAAAAAAGTGAATTCTGCACTCCATTTTATAAAATACTAGTATTAATACTAAGTAAACATTAAATTTATACTGGAATTTTTTTTTTTTTTTAAAGATTTTATTTATTTATTTGACAGAGAGAGAGTGAGAGCAGGAACACAAGCAGGGGGAGTGGGAGAGGGAGAAGCAGGCTTCCCGCTGAGCAGGGAGCTATACTGGAATTATTTTATTCCATTCCTGTGATTATTTCAGGTAGAAAAAACCCCAGCATATGCAAAGTTGCAGAGGCATGGAACATGATTTAGGGAATTCAAAGAATCTGGTACTGGCGTGGTAGGTGGGTTGTGAGAAATATTCTAGATAGGTGAGTATTTTGCTCCCTGGCCTATTATTTGTTTTTGACTCATCATCCCTGTTCTTGGACTTTGACCTCACCATATACCTTCATTAACGTATAGCAACCCTGAGAAAAGTACTTGTCTTCTCTGTGCTTTTGTTTTCTTATCTATAAATGAGAACAAGCTGGTGCCTGCTTCATAGGATGGTAGTGAGTTCATAGCTGTAAAGCACATAGAACATTGCCTACATAGAGGAAAAGATTCCTTTTCCTGTCTGATCTTTTGCCTCCTATGAATTACCTGCTTAGTTGACTCACTCTGTATTTAGTAACCAGTAGTCCTCCACAAAGAGATTATTTTTTCTCTCAGAATTAACCCCAGTCCTTCCCATTTCCATTTAGGGTACCTTTCTTCCTACTGGAATTTCTTCTTTTTTTTTTTTAAAGATTTTATTTATTTATTTATTTGACAGAGAGAGACACAGCGAGAGAGGGAACACAAGCAGGGGGAGTGGGAGAGGGAGAAGCAGGCTTCCCACAGAGCAGGGAGCCCGATGCGGGGCTCGATCCCAGGACCCTGGGATCACGACCTGAGCCGAAGGCAGACGCTTAACGACTGAGCCACCCAGGCGCCCCTTCCTACTGGAATTTCTAACGTGTGGCCCTCTGTATCCCTTTCCTGGGATCCAATGCTCATTGCCAACATTATGGGAGGACATTAGGAAAATCCCTTTCTCTTCTGGATGTTTTTGAAATCATCTTATTTAATTGTTTTTCTTCTTCTGGGAAGACAATGGGGTTAATGTATTACAAGGATCTGTGTGTTTCCTCTAGAAAACAGACCATCCCAACAAAGGGAAAAAACATGTAAAGGTGTTTTAAAAACATGTAATTTTTTTGTTAAAAGCCTCTGTTTAGAAATCTTATTTTATTGTTTTTAAGCTATGTATATTAAATAGGAAAAAAAAATTAGATGTTACCAGTGGCATGTAACTTCAGCCTTGAGAAAAGCAATATAAGGAGCCAGAACATCTCATTTGGAATGGCCGCTTGCTCGCGTGAGCAGTGTCTTGTCTGTAGACAGTGTCTCCCTCCGCAGCAAATCAGGGGCCCTGGACCTTTTGGCTGATTGAAGACTTCTGTCTTCAGGCAGAAGGCAAGAACAACGAGGGTGGTATCAGGGTATTTCTCTCTTTTTTTATAGAGGATAAAGGCACAATGAGATTCTTGGGCTAGTCTCTGTCTTTTCATTTTTGAAATTTCTCATTTGTTGTGATGTTAAGAAAAAAAAAGTTGGGCCAAGGAGGAGAGGTAATTCCAATTTTGGCTGATCCTGGAGTAGATCACTTGATGTTCCTTCTGATTCCCTTCAGGTTATGATTTCCTCAAGACAAAGGTAGTTTACAACTTGATGTAAAACAGACCTGGGATTGTGGGAATGTGGCAAGTAGGGAGCCAGGGAGAGGTTTCTGGAAGGAAGCAGAGGAATCACTTTTCTCTTTTTCCCTACTCTACTCAGTGACAAGCATTTAGGTGCCATTTCCTACTCCTTACAAACCCTTTATTTGGCAACAGACCTGGGTTTGAATCTGCTTTGGCTATTTGCTACCAGTGTGGCCTTAGGCAAGGTCTGGCCTCTCTGACCTTCACTGTCCTTTGTATCTTTTAATGGGGTTAACAATACTGACCTCATAAGGTTCTTGAAGGGGTTGAGTCCAGTTGTAGTACATAAAGTGCCCAGTACATGATAGAGTCAACACATCTATTCATTCTTTTGCTCAATTCTTCTTGTAGTAGCAGTACAAGCCTCTTCGGCCAGTTAAATGAGTCACAAATACATCCTGTGGGTAAGTTAAAACAAGGAACTTTTGACTTGATTAGTGTAAAAAAATTTTAATGATGCCTCCCTTGTTTTTCACCCTCATAGTAGTTGCCTCAGCAAGTCTAAAAAACAACTTACTAATTTGGTGGGTCATGATTTCAGTTTTAATTCAAATGATTAATTTCCAAACCAAAGGCATACACAGTTGTCATAATTCCTATGATTGCATTAACAATAATGCTAGTGTAATTAGAGTTTGCTGAAAATCCCTTGGACTAGAGTCGTGGGTCCAATTGCATTCCAAAATAGATTACTTCTAGGGAGGTTGCTGTCTTCCTTAGAAGATGTTGAAGAGCTCAGACTTCAGGCTACCTGTGTTGGTATCTTGCATCCATCATTTACTGGCTGTGTTCCTTGGGCAAGTTTCTGGACCTCAGTTTCTGTCTTCTCTGGACCTCAGTTTCCTTATCTGGGGATTATAATAGTTCTGACCTCATGGGGTTTTTATGAACTAAATGAGTGTACTATATATAAAGTACTTAGAATAGTGCCTACCTCACAGTAATTGTTCAAGACTTGATCGTCATTATGATCTTCTGTTCAATAAAACAGCCTGAAACAATGTAGTCTGTTTGACCTGACCATCTTCATTCTCTTGGTTAGGTTACACCCTCTTACACTGTGCCGCAGCCTGGGGTCGTTTGGAAACTTTGAAAGCACTGGTGGAGTTGGACGTTGATATAGAAGCGCTGAACTTCCGGGAAGAAAGAGCACGCGATGTTGCTGCTCGGTATTCCCAGACCGAGTGCGTTGAATTCCTGGACTGGGCAGGTAAGGAGGCCTACAGGGTAGTAGTGTAACCAAATTAACGAGCGTTCACTCCTTGGTAAGTCACAGAACCTACCCTAGGTGAGTTTTCTCACAAAGGAACCTTTATTGGCAGCAAATAAGGAGATCATGGAGGGTAACTTCCAAAGCTGTGACTCCCCAAGCAAGGGTGCATGGGTTCCTTTTATTTAGGGTTAGGATATTTAAAAAGGGGATCCTTGTCATTGTACAGGCGAGCATAAGGCCCCCCATGCGCCTTAAGGAAACATGCCTATACATACATTGTATGTTATGTAAATGAGGCTTGGGTCCTCCTTGGGTGGAGATTTCAGTATTAGAGTGAGATAAAGATAGTTGTGGGTTATTCTAGAGGTCACCCAATGGCCCATCTGTGCTCAAACTGGTCTGGGTAGTCTGGGCAGTCTGGGCTGGCTGGAGGCCTCAGGGCAGTTGCTATTGTGTAAGGGGTGGTTTCGGTTTCCATTTGCCTGAATTAAGAGATAAGCGGGAAATAAGTGCTTAAGGAAAAAAAAAATATGGGACAGAGGTTGGTGAGCACAAGCAGGTGGGTAGTAAAGGTCGGGTCTTGGGATCTAGCTGGTGACAGTAGAAAAGGACTGAGTGATGGATTTTTTTTCCCCTATGAGTTATAGGTTATACCATCAACAAAGCAAGAGATGATTACCATTTTCACCTTTTATCAAGTTTTATTTGTACATGTAATCACTGCTGGTGATAGTGTGTGAAATCCACTTTTTTTTTTCCTATTTTGCTATTGATCTCAAACATTGTACTTAATAGAAACTCTACATATTGGAAGTTAGTTGATTGACTAATTTGTAACAATTTCACCAGTAATTTTCCATAAGAACATATGTATGATATATGTTCAGGGCCATTTTCTGAGAGACTTAGGCAGAGTGGACCATTTCTTTTCTTTTTTTTTTAATGGTGTATTTGAGTCATATATTTGCTTTCCCAGGTAGATACAGTTATAATAATTTAAAATGACTTTTCAGGCAAAATTAATCTATAGTGTTAGAAGTTAGAATAGCAGTTACCTTTCTCGCATGAGGGGAATTTCTAGGGTGTAACTTTTTTTTCTTGATCTGGTTGCTGGTTCCATGGTGTGTTCATTTGTGAAAATTTATTGCGCTGTACATTTGTAATTTTTGCACTTTTCTGTATGTATGTTAAAGCTGCAATCAAAGGTCAAAAAGCTATGTGCTATTTTGAGTTTTAGTGATATTTTGCTTCATTCATTTCCACAGCCCTGTAGAAGATAGCTTAGAGATTCCAGGGAGATAATACCTGTGTAATTATGTATGTGTACACACATTGGTTAAAAAACTAGTACTTGTGAAGTTCACGGCATTCATTTTGCATAGTTCTCTTGCATTTGTGCTTTTCAGCAAGCATTTATTAAATGCCCACTATGAGTATAGCATTGTTGCAGGTATAACTGGTTGTTCCTGCCCTCTGGACATTGGTTAGGTGGGGGATGATAAGCTATAGACATAAATAACATCAGAAAGCCTATGAATAAGGGTTAAAATCAGCAGAGGAGGTGGTCCATGCTATGGGGTGGTCAGAGAACGTGAAGTTGGAGCATGTTGGAGTTGAACTGGGCCTTGGAGAATGGGTGGGATTTTAATACATTAGAAGGGGACAGGGTGTGAGCACAGCCTGAGGGCTGGGGATGAAAGTGGCATATTGAGGGACAGTGACGAGATTGCCTTACCAGAATAGCAAGTTGTAATTTGCAAACTCGGGCTACAGCACAGGTGGGATCATAAAAGAGAAAGTACATAGGCTTTTGAATCAAATTGCTGGAGTTTATATGCTGGTGTCTCCGTTTGAAACCTATGTGACCTCGGACAAGGTACTTAAATTCTTTATACCTTAGTTTTATTTTCCAGAAAAGGGACCAATAATAGATCCTACCTCTTGGCAGTTGTGAGATGATATAAAGCACTTCCCACAAGGCCTGGTGTGTGATTAGCACTTGAAAAATGCTACTGCTGTTATTACAGCCAGATAATACCCTGAAATACCAGGTTAAGGTGTTTTCATTTCATTTCTGTTGCAACTGGGAGCCACTGAAAGTTTTATGTAGAAAAGGAAGAGGATGAAAGTGATATTTAGAAAGAGTCATCTGGTAGCAGTAAGGAACTTGCTTATCAGTAACTTGAGAGGGGGACTGGGAGAATAGAAATAAGGAAATTGAGGGAAAGTAGCACGTTTGGAAAGAAAAAGATGAGTTATATTTTGTGGATTATTTTGCAGATAATTATCCACTTGTACTAAATGTTTTCTAGGGGCAATATTTCTAAGAATAGCTTCAATTTCATGGTGAGATCTGTAAGTAAAAAGAAAACAAATAGCAAAGAATTTAAGCAATCTCCCATGAAGTTATTGTAGCTGAAATTCACATTGTATAATTTAAAATCCATTTTTGAAGAATGACCCATGGTACTTAAAAAAAAAAAAACACAAACCAGGGACAAATTTAAATGTAACTTTTCTGAAAAGAAACAGTTTGGGACTTATGGGTGTGGAGTTCCAGCTGTTTTCTTCTTCCTAATATCCATCTGTTTCGTTTGGGTCCTTACATTCTTGGGGGAATTATACTTAACATTTCCTAAGAATTGAGATAAAAGAAGACTACAATACTATATAAACGAGTATCCTGTTTTCAGATCAGCGATGGAATTGTAAGGATTGGAGCTTCATGGTAATGTAGCTGGGGAATGTCAGAAACACAAACTATTCAACAAAACATTTAACATTTGTTTAATTCAGACTTAATGAGAGTTTAAACCACTACTATTTCTTGTTCTAGTGATTAGAGTATGAGTCACCTGGAGAAGTTTAAGGGGTTGAGGACTCCCTGTGTTGCCAGCTGGACTGGGGAGACCCCCCTGGGCCCGGAGGCCTCTGCCCAGCCCATCCCCAGGATGTCACTGAAGGCTTTTGGTCTCCTCACTAGAAAGAATTCATGGGCAGACCAGACACAAAGATTGAGTGGTGCAAGTAGGAGAGTTTATTAAAGTAAGAATACGCTCTCAAGATGTGAGAGCAGGTGAGCTTGAGAGAGAGCTGAATGCCCTGGTTTGGGGTCTCTATCTTTTATTGACAGTTGTTAACTAGGGGGTGGAATATTCATTACTTGGGGAGGGGACTTCTTGGGAGCAAAGTTTTGTACATTTTCTTGCTTATGTCATCACGGTTTCCAGCCTTCTTTGCCTTGGGCCTGTCTGGTTTGATCAGCTTCATGTGGCTTGTTTTGGAGTGCTGTCAGGACAGGTTCTCTAACTTTCCCAATAATTGGCCATAACTCCCCCTTTGCTGGCCTCCAGGCATCCTATTAAAGCCTGTCTACTCTAAAGCCCACCCAAAAAGATTCTCCTCCATACAGTAGAAAATTCCACTCTTAGAGAGCAATTGCTTTGGATTTTCGAGGTTTGGAGACTTTTCAAGAGTTTTCATTAAAAGAAATTTGTATCAATGTTCTGTTAGAGGGAACTGGTTGACAGGTCAGAACTCTGAAAGGATGGAAGAGACATTTTTGGAGATTAAGTGTAGGGTTGTGCTAAGGGAGAATGGAAGTAAGGAGGAGTCTGGAAACTGGGCTCATAAACTTTTAATAATCCATAATAACCTGAGCAGGCACTATTCTATTACTTGTAAAGACTATAGAGTCTTACTCATTGTTTCAAGAATTGTTTTTTTTTTTTAAGAATTGTTTTTTAAAAGTTTTTTTTCTCCCTTATATTGATGGGAGGTGTATTACAGAACTGGCATGTTTTTCTGTATGTTTTATTTTTATTTTTTTTAAAGATTTTATTTATTTGTGTGAGAGAGAATGAGAGAGAGCACATGAGAGGGGGGAGGGTCAGAGGGAGAGGCAGACTCCCTGCCGAGCAGGGAGCCCGATGTGGGACTCGATCCAGGGACTCCGGGATCATGACCTGAGCCGAAGGCAGTCGCTTAACCAACTGAGCCACCCAGGCGCCCTTTCTGTATGTTTTAAATCAAATCTTCTGTCCTAGTCTCAGATAGGGCTCCCAATTTGTTTGGAAAATCTGGTAACCATACTTATAAAAATTGAGGTGGCTAATCAACAAAAGTCTGGAATACTTTCTAAAAACTGAGGTATCTTATCAACCAAAGCCTGAAATTTTAGAAATGTTGATGCTTAATCATTTGTCATAATGAAAATGGAAAAATTTATACTTTAAAAAATTATTATGTTTCTTAATATTTCCATACTATTTTAGCAATCTGAGATGGGAAATTAAAAGTTTCTGTGTGACCAAAAAATCTACTCAGGAAAGTAAGAAAAATCACAAATTAATTTTATTTATTTATTTATTATTAATTAATTAATTTATTTAAAGTAGTCTCCATGCCCAGGGTGGAGCGAACGTGGGGCTTGAACTCATGACCCTGAGATCAAGACCTGAGCTGAGATTAAGAGTCAGACGCTTAACCAACTGAGCCACCCAGGCACCCCACAAATATTATTTAAATCAGAGATTTATTGAAACACTAAATCAAGATTCTGTTCTACATATTGATTAATGATTAGTAATCTAACACACTAAAAAGAAAAAAAAACAAACATGAAGAAGTGATTATATACAATCTTCTTCTTGGTACTCTAGTAAGTATGGATGCCTTTTTAGTTGAATAGAAGTAATTTTTCAACCCATACTTCTTTGGAAAGATTCAGTAAAGTATGTGACAAAAAAAAATTACAAGGGCTCTCAAAGAACCATTTTTATCCTTGCATGAGTTGTCTCAACAGATTTCTTGTGTAATCTCCATATGGGATTGAACTACATTTGCATACAGATAGGTCTAGTATCCTCTGGCTCCTTCTTCACTCCTCTTCCTCTTTAGTTTTCGGTGCTTGACTTTCTTAGCTGGAGGGTGATGGGACATCTGATTCAGGTACTTGGCCATCATTGATGTTGTGGCCAGCAGCCGGCAGAGTATTT